ATGCCTTATTTCTACTCAGTTATATACAACTACAATATCATACAACTTAAATATAATTTTTATATAATGTTGTTCAACTTTCATACAATAGTTAAATAAATAAAAGAAAAATATATAAACAACATAATACAATTTTTCTACAATTTTACTACAATTTCGTAAATATAATGTATATCATGTCTTCTTCTTCTTCGAGTTTCTAACTGAAATTCAGCCAAAACCAAGTCTAATCTTCACCAAAACCCCTCAAAATTGAGATATAAACTCCAAACCATATTCCCAATCGTTTGCACAACACCCAATCCAAACAAATAATGATTTTTGAAAAACCCAAATTCGAATTCAAAGCTTCAAAGCTTTTTAATGGCTGTCAATGGTAGAATTGCTGCTCTCTTTTCCTTTGCTTTACATTACTGAAATTAGGGATTGAGAGATAGAGAGAGACGTAGAGAGAATTCTCAATTCTTTGCAATAACATCCAATTAAAACAAATAATATTTTTTGAAAATCCAAATTCGAATTCAAAAATTCAAAAATTTTTAATGGTTGTCAATGGTGGAATCATGGGTGGGTGCAAGATACGTGGGGGAGGGAGGTGGGATGTGGAGAGAGAAACGTGGGGGAGTGGAAGATATGTTAGAGTAATTTTAGGACACTAATTATTATTATTAAATCCCTTAAAATGTACATAAATGATAATTGGATATATAAAATGTAATTATAGTAAAACTTAAGTAGGGAGGGTAATATAATTTCATATAGTGTATAGGAATGTAAAAATCTCTTTTGAATTTCACCCATGTTGCAGCCCACATAGGTGGACGTCCACAGCCCAAATTATTGGAAGTGGTCTGAGTATAGCAAGTTGGGCTGTGATTATATCACCTTCTTAAGGCATTTGTTCGAAAAGCTTTTAGCTTGATGATATTTGGTCGAGAAAAAGTTTTGTCACCTCTTTCTGGAAACTCCACTTTAGCTTTTTATTTTGTTCTTCAAAGTGTAAGGTTGGCCTTGCAATTTCAAGGGGAACAAGTACGCCTCAATCCCAAGTTAGGTGAAAGTTGCTCTAATCTTGATATAAAAAAATGCTATTTATAAACCTTTTAACAACACGAATATTACGATTCATATAAACGCACGTCAAGTACTCAAGTAGATAAATTGGAAAAGACTACCGAAACAATCCTTGGTACCACATTTTATTGACTAAGAGTCTAGAACAGGCTACTTACACCCTTTTTTGGTTGTTGATTGATACTTGGTATGAACACTTACCCGTAATTGGCTTAAAACGCTTCTTTGTGTCGCTTACAATTGACTTGATCGTGCAAGAAAACTAAACCTCTAAACAAAATTGTCGGAAAAACAAGTGAATTGACCAAGAACAAGAGAAAGAGGAAACAACCTATCGGATTAACGATGCGTCGTGACAAATTACTGTCTTGAAAGTGATTTCGATTCCATTAGGATATAAATCCTAGACTGGTCGTTCCTCGAGATTCCACAATACCCCCAAACACGTGCACTCGTGGCTGAAATTTGAAATTAGTACAAATACAGTTGTCCAGAAGTTAAATTGAGAAGAACAACTTTAATTATGAGAGGAATAATTTATATGTGCCGTTGTATATGATTATTCACAAAGAAGCTGCATTTTATATGCCAAGCTATAGGACATTTACAGAAAAAAGGAATTAATCAGAGGAATAAATAAGAATAAAGTCAGATGTTACAGAAATTAATATATATTCTAAGTATTTGGACATATTTATGGAATTTGGACTTATTCTAGAAATAAAATTGAGAAGAACAACTTTAGAGATGAGATAAATAATTTATATATGCTGGTGACTGGTGTATATGATTATTCACAAAGAAGCTGGCATTTTATATGCCAAGCTACAGGATAGTTACAGATAAAAGGAATTAATCAGAGGAATAAATAAGAATAAAGTCAGATGGTACAGAAATTAATATATATTCTATGTATTTGGACATATTTATGGAATTTGGACATATTCCAGAAGTAAATTGAGAAGAATAGCTTTAGAGATGAGAGGAATAATTAATATGTGCTAGTGTATATGATTATTCACAAAGAAGCTACATTTTATATGCTAAGCTATAGGACAGTTACAGAAAAAAGAAATTAATTAGAGGAATAAAAACGAATAAAGTCAGAATCAGTGCATTAGAAGTTCTAATTTGAAACTTAGAGACTTTCTCTCTCTGGGATGAGACTTTCTCTCCGTGAAAGATGAAATGGCGAGAAAATCGAAGACGGGAGGGGAGGTCAGAAGATCCAAGGCAGTCAGCCAGTGAATTCAGTGAGAAAGGGAGTGTCGCAATCGGGAGATGCGAGGAAATTGAAAAACATTAACGCGATTCAAGGGATTATACCTTTGGATGTTAATCAATTGTCCAGTCCAGTAACGCTGCTTGAAGGGAATAGGAGAAACACTTAAATTCAAGTGTCGAACAGGGCATCTTGATCAGACCTTGTAGAAGAGGAAACAATGGCGACCAAAATCGCAGGTTCGACTAGAACCCTAGAATCTACTACTAAGTCATGGAGTAATGTTGTGGGTTCAATACCGATAGAAGAAGGACTTGACCTTACTGAGGAAAGTACTGAAATGAATATGAAAATTACAATGGCAGACATTAAGGATGAGGTTGAGTATTGGATAACGGCGGTGTGCTGCTATATCTTAGGGTCTAATCCACCATAGGTAGTTATGGATGGATACTTTAGGAGAATCTGGGGTTTATTGGGGATTGGCAAAGTAGCACAATTGAACATAGGGGTGTTCGTGGTAAGGTTTTATAGTGTTGAAAGCAGAAGAAAAGTGGTTGAAGAAAGAGTTCAAATGTTTGATCGAAAACCTGTAATTGTGAAGCCATGAAAGCCAGAATATAGAGATCACAAAGGAACAAATGGAGAAAATTCCTATTTGGGTGCGATTGACAGGGCTAGACATTAAGTATTGCGGACAATCGGCTTTTACAAAAATAGCAAGTCTAATTGGAAAACCTCTCAAGGCTGATACTGCTACTACTAAAAGGGAAAGAGTAATATATGCAAGAGTACTGGTGGAAGTGAAGTTGAATCAAAAGTACCCGAAAATCGTTAGATTTGAGAATGAATGTGAAAAAATTATTGAACAGGCAGTTTATTATGAGTGGAAGCCTATTTTATGTGGGAAACGCAAGAATTATGGGCATGAAATGATTGAGTGTTGAAATTTCTACGGGAGGAAAGAGGGAAAAAGGAGAAACAACAAGAGACAAGGGAACATATGGAGGTAGAGCAGCAGAGAGTGGAAAAAGATAAACAAAAAGATCAAGCAACACAAAAGGGTGAAGAAATGCAACAGAAGGATAAAGGGTGGAAAGCAAGCAAATAGTAGTGGGCAGAGGGGAGAATAACCAAACCAATAATCATGGTAATAAAGTTGGAAAGTATGTGAAAAAGGCAGTGGTGGTTCAAGAAATACCACTCAAGATAGGCAATACATTTGCTACTTTAGGACAACAATAAAGTGAAGAAGGGGGAAGTCCTAGTCATGCAGGGGAGAAGCTAGTAACACCTGAGGATGGAAATGTAGGCAAATGTGGGGCTGAAATTGGCAAGGGTGGGGGAAACACAACAACACATGGATAAAATAGGATTTTGGAATACCAGGGGACTATACAATCCAGGTAAACAGAAAGAAATTCATCTGTTTATGCGTAACTCTCAAGTTGGATTGTTTGGTCTCTTGGAAACTAAGGTTAAGAGATCCAAGGCACAGAGAGCTGCTCTTAACCTATGTAATAGATGGTCGTATAGTACTAATCTAAGTCATTATCAAGGAGGAAGAATTTGGCTTTTATGGAAGCCTATGATATTTGGTGTTAGTATTTACAAAGTCACAAAACAGCTAATACACTGTGGAGTACATCACAGAGGTACAAATAGGAAACTTTATAATGGTATATGGGTTCAATGATACTCCATTGAGAAGGAAATGGTGGCATGATATCAAAGGTATCCACGATCATATGTTAGAGCCTTGGTCAGTAATGGGAGACTTCAACTGTGTCCTGAATAGAGGGGAAAGGATTGGGAGTCCAGTTACAATGTCAGAAATAAGAGACTTCAAGCAATGTGTAGAGGATTGTACACTGCAGGATATGAAGTCTTCTGGGGCCTTCTATACATGGAACAACAAGAAAGGAGGTACATATATGGTTTATAGTAAGATTGACAGGGTTCTGGTGAACAATGAATGAATAATGGCTTTACCAGATTCAGAAGTATACTATAGGTTTGAAGGAACGTTTGATCATTGTCCTGCAATAACAAAATGGGCTGGGGAACACAAAAATCAGCATATGTTCAGGTACTTCAACATGTGGAGCTTAGTACCATAGTTCAAGGAGAAAGTTAAACAAGGATGGGGGACAGATAAAACTGGGACCTAAATGTATGAGTTGGTGCGAAAACTGAATAATTTGAAGAGAACACTAAAGCAGCTAAATACAGAAAAGTTTAGTCATATAGAAAGGCAGGCAGACAAAGCACTAGAAAAGCTAATGCAATGTCAAGGAAGACTACAGAAGAGTCCTCTAAACCTAGAGCTACAGGAAGAAGAAGCAAGGCAAAATAGCAATTACAAGAGATTGAATAAAGCTAGATATCAATATCTAAGTCAAAAAAGCAAGGTGCAGTGGCCGGAAAAGGGGGATATAAACACCACGTTCTTCCATAATATGATGAAGGCCATGAGGAATATGAATAGAGTGTTCTCTATAACCGATTCACAAGGGTCAAATGTAATTGAGATGGATGCAATTGCTAAAGCTTTTATTGAGTTCTACACTACTCTATTGGGTACTAACATGAGGGAAAGGGAGCATGTCAATAGTAGCTTGGTTCGGCAAGGACCTTTAGCTACTGAAATACAAAGGAGATTGTTGGAAGAAGAGTTTACAGAGAGAGGGAGGTTAAGATAGCTATGTGGGCAATTAATGGAGAAAAATCACCAGGTCCTGATGGCTATGGAAGTAAGTTCTTCAAAGATAGTTGGGAAGTGGTAGGAAAAGATGTAGTAGGTGCTGTAATGGAATTTTTCAAAATAGAAAAACTACTAAGAGTGTTGAATCACATAGTGATTGCCATCATACCTAAGAGTTCTCATGCTACTAGTGTGGGAGACTATAGACCTATAGCAGGATGTAATACTGTCTATAAGGAGATATCTATAATGTTATGTAATAGGCTTAGAATGGTATTGCCAACTCTGATCTCTACAAACCAAAGTGCCTTTTTTGTAGGGACAACCATTGTGCAAAATATTCTGATATGTCAGGACTTGGTAAGGCTGTACAATAGGAAGAATATTACTCAGAGCTGTTTGATCAAGATTGACCTCAAAAAGGCATATGATACTGTAGAGTGGTCGTTTGTGGAAGAAATTCTCCATGCAATGAATTTCCCTCATAGATTCATTAAATGGATAATGGCATGTATAACTACTACTCAATATAGCATAGTAATAAATGGGGGACTATATTGGAGTATTAAAGTAAAGAGAGGATTCCGACAGGGTGATCCCTGTTATTTGTAGTGTGCATGAAATATCTTACTAGAATCTTGAATAAGGTGGCAGAAATGAGGGACTTTGGGTACCACACTAAATGCAAAGGATTGAAATTGAATCATCTATGTTTTGCACATGATGTACTATTATTTTGTAAAGGCAATTATCAGTCAGTAATGCTTTTACTAATAGGGCTGCAGTCTTTCTCTAATTCTTCAGGCTTGAGCACTAATGCAGGAAAGTCGAATATTTTTAGTGCTAATATGGAAAATCAAGTATTAGAAGATTTATGTGAGGCAACTGGATATTAGAGAGGGTCATTACCATTTCGATGCCTGGGGGTGCCTATCTCAGCAAAGAAGATTTCCACCATGGACCGTGAAGTACTAGTAGACAAGATAACTGCTAGACTAAAGATCTGGAATTCGAGAAACCTCTCATATGCTGGTACAGTACAATTAATTAACTCAGTTCTTTAACAAGTACACACATACTGGTCATCAATCTTCATCATGTCTAAGGCTGTGTTAAAAAAGCTCAATGCAATATGTAGAAACTTCTTACGGGATGGAAGAGAACAGACTAATAAAGCCCCTATGGTTGCATGGGACACTATTTGTAGACCAAAACAAAATGGAGGCCTAGGGATAATAGATTGTAAGATATGAAATGAGGCAGCGATAGAAAAATATGTGTGGAACATTGCTCAAAAGGCAGATAATTTATGGGTGAAGTGGGTTGATCACATTTACATAAAAGGTACCAGTTGGAAGCAGTATTTACCACCAACTGCAGTACTGGAAGAGAATATGCAATACAATGGAGAAGTTCAAGGGGGGATATATGGGGAATAAACGGCAGCAGATAGGAGGAATGTATACCATACAAAAGGGATATCACCAGAGGAAAGGGGAGGTGAATGATTGGCCTTGGACTAGATGGATTTGGAGTTTAATAAATGTCCTAAAGTACTATATTATAAGCTGGCTAGCAGTATATAAACGACTGCTGACTAGGGAAAGGCTGCAAAAAATTTGAGTATGCCAAGAGACAAGGTGTGAAATGTGTGGAGGAAGCATAGAAATAATCCATCATATGTTTTTTGAATGTCATTTCTCAAATGAATGCTTGGGGCTTCTAATGGAGTGGCTATGTCACGACCCAAACTACCATGTCGAGATGGCGCCTATCGTGGTACTAGGCAAGCCGACCCTTTACCAAAAAAACAATGCGATATTTTATTTTCAAAGATAAATTCACGCTATTTAATAATAAAATTTCATAAAGAAAATCTGAATAACGAAAGTGCGGAAAGAAAAGCCCAAAAACGGGGTGTCACTAGTCATGAGCATCTACTAAAATCTGTCCGAAAATACTGAGACTAACACAGTCTGGAAATGTAACTACAAAACAAACTATAGGAAGATAGGAGGGAGAAGAGCAGGGCTGCGATCGCCAGTAGCTACCTTACTAACTTCGAGGAGATCTACAGTTGGAATAGTCAACAGCTGCTATCGGGTCCTGATACGCCTGGATCTGCACACAAGGTGCAGGGACTAACGTGAGTACGCCAACTCAGTAAGTAACCAAAGTAAATAAAGTCTGAGAAGCAGTGACGAGCAATAAAGCATATAAAGTTCATATCACGAAATCTCAGTAAAAATACAACATGCTTTTAAAAGCAGAGTTTGAATCAAATCATTTCGTTTAAACTCAGTTTCAGTAAAATCAACAGTCCTCAATAGAGGCTGAGTGCAACAGTGAGCAAAAATGATGAAATCATAAACAGTCCCTCGGGCAAAACATCACTCATGTACAGCCCCTCGGGCAAACCTCACAACCACTCGTATACAGCCCCTCGGGCATACATCACCATCACTCACACTCAGGGTACCCGCTTTCACTGGGGGTGTACAAACTCCGGAGGGGCTCCTTCAGCCCAAGCGCTATAACAAGCCACCTCGTGGCATAAATCAATCAGGCCCTCGGCCTCACTCAATCATGAATCAGTATCAACTTGTTGTGGCGTGCAGCCTGATCCCATAAATATTCTCACAAATCAGACCCTCGGCCTCACCCAGTCATAAACCTCTCAAGCCACTCGGGCTCTCAGTAAAAATATGGTACTCAGCCCAAAACAACATTTATATGCATCAAAATAGATTAATAAAGACAGAGTTATGAAATCAATAAGTTTAACATGACTGGGTATAGATTTTAAATCGAAAACAGTGAGAGGATAGTAAGAAAAAGGCCCCTAAGGGTCCAAACAACTCTGGCACAAGGCTCAAACATGGCATTCAGCCCATTTTACAGAAAACTCTTTCTAAAATACGCAACTTTATAGTTGCTATGGGACGTACCAAGTTACAATCCCCAACGGTGCACGCATACATGCCCATCACCTAGCATGTGCATCACCTCAAAATAGTAAAACGATATGAAATCCGGGTTTCATACCCTCAGGACTAGATTTACAATCGTTACTTACCTCAAACCGGTCAAATCTCTACTCCGCGATGCTCTTGCCCCTGGACTCGACCTCCAATCGCTCTGAATCTATTCACAACCAGAACAATACCATCAAAATGCGCTAATGGAATGAATTCCACAAGAAAAACTATCAAATTAGGCACAAATCCCTAAATCTTCTCAAACCCGGCCCCCGGGCCCACGTCTTGGAATCGGACAAAAGTCACAAAACTAGAAAGCCCTTTCACTCACGAGTCCATACATACAAGATTTATCAAAATCCGACTCCATTTGACCCTTCATAACCCCTCATTTTCACCCCTAATCTTCAATAATTACATGATTAAACAACGGAAAAATTACCATAAACACGAGTATTAGGGCTTAAGTAACTTACCTCAATGAAAACCCTCTTGAATTCCAATTCACTCCCAAAATCTCCAAAACCGAATAAAAATGGTGAAGAATGGCCCAAAATTCGCGAAGTCCACAATTTATACTTTCTGCCCAGAACTTCCGCATCTGCGGTCCAACAGTCGCCTCTGTGACGCCGCACCTGCGAAAAATCCATCGCAGGTGCGGTTCCCACTTATTCCCTCAGAAACCACTTCTGCGGTCACAACATCGCACCTGCGGTCTCGCAGGTGTGCTCCACTATTCGCACTTACGGCTCCTGCCTACCACAGCCTTGGCCGTATCTGCGGCTTCTTCTCCGCTTCTGTGGGCTCACACCTGCGGTCCCCTCTCCGCAGGTGTGGTTAGGACAGTTGAGTTCAACTTCAGCATTTCTCAAATTCCATCCTTGTTCCGTCAACCACCCGAAATCAACTTGAGGCCCCCGGGAACTCAACCAAAAAATATCAACAAGTCACATATCAACATACGAACTTAGTCGAACCTTCGGAACACTCAAAACAACATCAAAACATCAAATTATCCTTGGATTCAAGCCTAAGAACTTCTAAACTTTCAATTTTCGCAAACGACGCCGAAACCTACTAAATCACCTCCGAATGACCTGAAATTTTGCACACACGTCACAAATGGCACCACGAACCTACTCAAATTCCCGGAATTCCATTCCGACCCTGATATCTAATTTTCCACTGCCAACCAAAATTGCCAAATTTCCGATTACGCCAATTCAAGCCTAATTCTACTACGGACCTCCAAATTACATTCCGGACGCTCTCCCAAGTCCAAAATTACCTAACGGAGCTAACCGAACCATAAAAATCCAAATCCGAGATCGTTTACTCATAAGTCAATATCCGGTTGACTTTTCCAACTTAGGCTTCTAAATAGGAGACTAAGTGTCTCATTCCACACCGAAACCACTACGGACCTGAACCAACCAACATGATACGATGAAATACAGCTAAGGAACACATAAGGAAGCAGAAATGGAGGAAACGAGGCTATAACTCAAAGGTAAAATGTGCAGGAAGTTTATATTAGCAACCCCGGCAGCGTTGGTGTACAAATTCTGGCAAGCAAGGAACGATGCAATCTCGAACAGCAGAGTACCTAGTCCAATGGTGGTATGTAAACAGATTAAACAAGAGTGTAGAGTTAGATTGAATATGCAAAACATCAGAAGAGAGAGTAAGGATAGTAGAAAATGGATGGAGGAATTGCATAGCACACAGAGATAGGAAAATAGATTAGTGTGAGGACTTTTGCGACTAGAAGGAACATTCCTCTAGTCTTGATTGTATATTAGGTTGGTTGGAGATTAATAAAAAAAATTTTACACCAAAAAAAAAAGAATAAAGTCAGATGTTATAGAAATTAATAGATATCCATGTATTTGAACATATTTATGGTAAGCTCAAAGTACCACAAATAATTTTAGCAAAACCATAGCTAAATTAAGCCTCATGTATATCTCGCATTCAAGGGGGCAAGTTAACCAGTTTTTAATATGCGCAAGATCCCTCTCTTTTACTAACCCAATAAAGGACTACTCTATATAAAGAGAAAAAGAGAGTTCTTCCTAATTTATATAGGACTCTTGTCTTTCACGTAGAAGTAAGAAAGGAAAAGGACACACAAAGAAATTTTTAACTTCGCATTACCGACTATTAGTAATAATATTAACAAAAATAGAAATGAAACGAAAGCTATGTGGAGAATTAGTAGAGTTTAACCAAATTATAACAGTCATTAAAAATTGAATATATTTAATCAAAGTGATCTAGCTAACTCTGAACATACTCGCCTTCTCACAAAAAATGGAGTTCGAAAAATGAGTTTGAAGTTTTTGTTTTAATTCAAATTGATTTCTTAAATTTCTATAATTTTGTTAAATATTAATATTGTAAAATATATAAAAATTTGTGGTCAAAGAAAAGGTTTTTTTTTTTCCTTTTTCTAAAAGGAAAAAATAGTGTCACTCTCCAAGTAGCAATAGTGTAACATAAAATAAAATGAAAGAAATAAGAAGAAGTTTGTCTATTTTATTTGATGTGTTTAACTGAACATTAGATTTAAAATATTAATTTAGCTTATGTTTTAATTAATAATTAGTAGAAGCGAAGCGGTGGTTAAAAATTAGTTTGACAGATGTAGAAAACATCATTTCCAAGTTAAAAATTTGAAGAGTTAAATGAGTTTGAAAATATTAGAAATTAAGCCCTTTAGACGATATGCGAGTTGAAGTTTTGAACTCTTTTTTTTGCAAGTTTTCATAAATTTTGCTACAAAGGATGATGTGTTCTGTTTCTAGAAAAGGAAGTTGATCCGAAAATTTTCACTTGACTAAAATTTTGCAGGTTTAACTCGAAAATACTCAAACAAACACAACGTTCATTTTTTACAAGTGGTGGACCTGGTGGTG